TGAAATCATGTGTGGGGCTAATAGTTTCACACGATTGCCAAATCAAAGTTTGGAGGGGAACAGTAACATCACTTCAAACATGACAACAATTGTAGGCAGTGTAACAGCTTATGGATTAGCATAACATGATGATTATTTGAGTAATTAATAAAAATGACAAACATTTACTGTTACTTCTCAGATTCCAGAAATGTATTTGTTTTATATAAATGAAAATGTAATAGTCTATGTGTTTTAAAATTTGAAGATGTCACTTTCGGTTTTGGAATTTCAACTCAAAATGTGTCCATTTAAGGAAATAAATAATCAATATGTTTACTAATAATAAGAAAATAATCATTGTTGCTGTCCAAGTGTCTATCAAGAAGTCTTACACAGAGAGTTTACCAATACTCACAGCTGCTGTACGACACTGTGTAAGAGGCAGGGCCCTAGTTCATCCCTATGGCAGTGGCTCATTGGCACATGAAGCCAAAAAATGTTGACTTCTGAGTATAAAATGACCAGATTGTTTCACATTCAAGAACCCATAGAGCACACTGGCGTTTACTTCAACCCCGCCTCCCAACAGTTCTGCCTCAGGCTCAATCACATGTGAACGACAGCACTAACACTTGTAAGGAGATACTGGATTAAAATCAGATGGGGAGAGAAGGAAAGTCATGATATCACACCGCATAAAACATTTAAAATAAAAGTATAAAAGCCTGTGCAGGAATGTTCCTTGTGTTGGCCTGTCTGTCTGTCTGCCATCGTGTCTATGCATCTGCCAGCAGCAGGGCTTTAATTATGAGGCCCAGGTTACACACAAACACACACACAGGAGACTAGCGTCCCACATATCTCTCACACAGTGCCTCACAGTTCCGCTGACTAACCAGTGGCACCAGACTTTGGCCTGCGGCTCCCTGATTCCAGTAAATGTCGTGTTATGCAACTCCTAACAAGTGTCACCCAGTCTGAACTTAGAGCATTCTGGGTCTCGGCAGCTCTCTCTCTTTTTCTTTCCTTATCTCTTAATTTTTCTCCGAAGACAGTAAGTGGTTAGCTCCTTGGAGTTTGACTGAGGGGGGGAGGCAGTGACTCTACACTAAGTGTGCCCTGCTTTGTGCACAGGCAGAAAACCAGGAATGGAGAGGCAGGAAATGGGGAGGAGGGTGAGGAGAGCTCCTCCAGCTCTTTGCCTGAGAAACACAGCTGCCCCTCATGTCTTGGGGCAATGCCAAGGTTAGAGTCCTCGAGGGGGGTGAGAGGTGTGTGTGTGTTGGACAAGTAGGAACAGGAGGACTGCTGTTCTTTCCAGTTCCCTGTCCTTCTTATACACACTCAGACACAGAGAAACACACAGTTTCTGATCGGTAATTAAGTGCAACCAGCTTTGTGATAAGTAAGGAATTAAACGTCTCAGCTTCTGTATTTCTTTAAGCTTTATTCCTAGGGTTTACAGGGAAAAAAACATTTAAGATAACACACAGCAATTACACCTCCACATGTATAAAGAACAACAACAATGTGTCAACAAGGTACACCATCTCAAAATAAGCTAATAAAACAAAAACAGTAGTCTTATGTGACTCAAAGACTTAATTACTGATCAATTAAGCTTAAAGCAGTTATAAATACCTTCAATGGAATGATCAGGTACAGTAGGGCTGGGCAATATTTACCGAGAGGCAACATAAATAAAATAATTAAGCTACGCTATTGACAGCGATGTGGCGCTATCTTTGATGCCATAGCACAAGAAAGATTTCTCATAAATATTAATGCAACACGATTTGCATTCTGAATATAAATCACCAGAGGGAATCATAAGAGCCATTTCCTGTCCAGTATCCCACACCCATCTCGTATCCGGACCCTTTCGGTGATACCTGCAGTGTTTACTGTAAGACTGAAAGGGATTGGAGTCATCGGGTGCATTTACATGGTAACGACCCCGGTGTCACTCGCTCTACAATCAGCTCGGACCTGCGTGTTTGTCTGCACCAGCACAGTTTGTTTTGAGACCCGTGGGAGTGTTTACCAGCGTAGGTTGAGGAATTTCAGGTCAAGAGAGCGTCATGTACAGAGAAAAACCTCCGACCAAAATTGATCCCGACACTGACATCAAAGAGCACCTGAGCCTTCCAGCTCCACTGGCTGAAACCAAATATTTATCCTGTGGTGACGTATGTATACTACAGAAATACAAGGAAGAACTGATTTTTGGAAGCTATGCAAGGAAGTGTGCGTAGTATATCATAATGCAAGGGTGATATTTGAACCACATACAGTAATGCCATCTTATGGAGTGAAATAAGGAAGAAACCGGAATGGGACAAATATAAATAACAGCTCCGCAGGGAGGTTTGATGATACAGAATTTAGGCCATCTGTTCTTCTTCCAGTTGGACGGGCGTTCTGTCCAGTCCACTTTGAGAGATTCTCCAAGCTGGTCCCACCTGGCACAACTGTCCTCAAAATTCACACTGTCGCAGACGGCCTGAGAAGTGTGGAGGCTGTCATGACTCAGTTCTGACACGACCGACTGCGGAGGACTGCCTCAAACAATTACAGAGCAGACAGCCTTAATCATAGATTAATGAAAACGACATGTGCTTTAGCCCGTTCCCTTCAGGAGAAGGAGACCCATCTGTTCAGAAAGATCAGTCACATGGACAAATGATCCCTGGTTAACTTAAAAAAGACTGCACTTACTGTTGAACATTCAGAGGGGCCTGGAAACCTAGAAAGCATTGGTGTTAAGACTTTTGTCATCCTGATTACCGTGTAACAGCACGGAAGAAGCCACCACATAACAATTACAGAACATGTATGGTTCTCTTTCTGTTTGTTTTTGTCGTCTTGAAGGTTGATGGAGTTAAAACCAAAGGTGGATTGGTTTTTTGGTTTGAATATTTTTGTCATTTTTGCAAAGTTGTCTTTGGAATGAGGTCACATTTTGTGTTTCCAATAAATCATGTTGTCTTAGTCGAGTCAAAATGTAACAATGCAGTCAGAGATGTAAACAATCTACCCTTGAGAATTTCAAAGAATATAGATGTCTCATCAAATTTGAAATGGAGAGATTTAAGGATATTACTACTGATTGATTAACTGTCTGGATTAAAGAAGAAACAACTCAACCAAAAACACATGTCTGGCCACTAAATTACCATTTCACATTGTTATCTTTCCTCAGCTTCTCTCTTGCCCGGCTCATAAGTAAATCGCTCCGAAGAGACAATGTGTGATAGCCCCCCTGTGTGGAACCGAAGGGAGCTCTATGAATAACTCCCCTCACAGCAATGAATGGCACTTTGCTTTCCCACAGTATTATTCAGTCTACACCCCCAACATGGCAGGATAAGCAGTGAGCCCAGGCGGTGGCTGAGCGCCTCTCTCCAAGCCTGCCAATCACACAATAACTGTCAAGGGATTGAATAATACTGAGAGACTTCACTGTTTATTAAGGAAGCCATTAATTAGGCCTTAATGAAGACTAACCAACATGTTCACAGTGTTTGAATCTATTGCATACTTGGCAAAATATAAATATTTACTAGTGTACATAATAATGCAGATTGACTCACAGTTAATGGTCTACATAATAATAATAATAATGACATGAGTACAGGATAATCATCCTATTTTTAAAGTCAACATCAGTTAACATTTTATTTATATGCTGCAACCTCACACTACTAACCCTCTGTAGGTGTTTTTTGCCTGTGATAAAATGTACTTTTATATTTGTGTGAGTTGATATGGGTATAATGTTAGCATCTCATATTGACTTTAAGAACTCAGCAAATATATTGTTGTCCAAATAATCAATTTAATATGGTATCATGATGTAAATTGTGAAACTGTGCACCGCAAGCTACATCTTGGGATAAAGGTCGCTTCCCTTTTAAACGTACCCTAACCCTTATCACTGACCCACAATTGGCTTTTATCCTCAATTGGACAAGCCGTCCACCATGATTAACTGGTGTTTAGTCAACAATGTAGTCACACACACACACACACACACACACACACACACACACACACACACACACACACACACACACACACACACACACACACACACACACACACACACACTAACATTAGATGTAATGTTGTGATCAGAAAGGACAATTCAAGTTAAAAGCACCATACACAGAAACCTGCACCTTTTAAAGTATCAATGTAAATCATGATATATTAACTATATATATCCACTATATGATTCATCCTAGAGGACCAGACCTACTTGAATAACATCACCACCCTAGCAACACATTTATCCAGTACCTGCTTTTTGTTTATTGTGGGTATTTCACCACACTCAAGGGTTTTTTCCACTCTCATTTTTCTGAAAGGGCTAGGTTTGACAGCTCAACATGAGTCTTGGGCTTGTTGTAAACACTGCAGTCAAATTGATGATTTCGAAGTGGGCATTGCTGTTGTGCTCTGTCAACTTTAAACCAGTGTAAAAAAAAAAGCTTCTTATTTTTATAGTTTTTTTAATCTGTCTATGTTATTCAATGTAAAAAGTCTCACTTGAAATCCTGTCTGACATGAATGTGTCACCTCTCAGCACATGACTCAACCATGGGAGCCTGCTCTGACAGGGGAAGACATAACCCCCCCACAACTGCTTTACATTTCATCGGCAACCCAGACAGACTATAACGGAGGGAAGCCTTAATAAATCTCTCAATATGTGACTACAGGCTCAATATAATTTCCCGCTGAGAGAATAGACGTCATCAATTTATTCTCAGACACCACTGAAACTATTTGTCTCCAAAGGGAGGTGTACGCCCTTCAATAGTGTTCAGTGGGAGGGCCTGCCACACCACATCAGACATTTTAAGTCCCTTCTTGTGTAACACTTTGGACTGTTTCCAGGGCACATGAATGCTTTTGGTATCTCCTTACGACCTAGACGTCCAAACACAACTTCATTCAATAGTCTAATGTGGAAAACTGTGATTTAGCCTTAAAATCTATCATACATTGATTGTCTAGTGACAGCTGAGGGGAACTTTCTTGAACACAAAACTCACAGCAGTTTTGAAAATCACACGAGGGAAGAAATGAGGAAAAGAGGGTAGAGAAAAACCCTGTTGAGTCAGCAGACTCATATAAATCACATACTGCAGGGAGAAGTCAGATGACTGTCTCAGGTCATGGTAGCAACTGGCCAGTTTAGTCTAAATTGCTATTAACTGATGACAATGCAAGGGGGGGGGGGGGCATAAGACCATGCTGGAGCAAATGATTAACAACTTTACAGATACTTAACTCCTCATGAATGCTTTTTTGTAAAAACACTTGTGGGCAAGACCCTGTGCAATAACAGTGACAACCATAGATGATGGTGATAAACAATAAAGCTCTGATAAAAAAAAGCTATATATTCACAGTAGACTATTCAACGCCACAGAAAAGCAATCCCTAGGGGAATATTACAGTGATACCACAGTAGATGCAAACAAAATTGCATAAAGAACAATCAAGACCCTGTGAGAACTGCAGACACACAAACTGGAAAACTTGGTGCGAGAACTGGCGCAGGCTGCTGTTTTATCAGGCACAAACAGCAGTCATTCGCCATTCAAGCTATAGATGACAAAGATTTACGCACACTGTATCTCCTGGATAAAAGTGCCAAAAAAGAGAAACGTACCTTCCAGCCTGCAGAGCTGTTGCTGTCTCCTTTGTCCTTGAAGTAAGGCACACTCTTCACCATCCAGTCGTAAATCTGAGACAAAGTTAGTCGGTTCTCAGGGGAACTTTCGATAGCTTTGGTTATAAGGTCTGCATATGACATATTCCCCCATGCGTTTCGCCGGGAGGAGCTGCTCTTCCTCTGGGCAGCGGCGGCAGCTGCGGCTGCGGCGGCCGAGGACGAGGAGCCTACCGGGGAGGAGAGCAGAGGCACCTGCTGCTGCTGCTGATGCTGCTGCTGCTGATGCGGGAGTTGCGGATTCTGGTGCTGCTGCTGCTGCTGCTGCTGCTGCTGCTGATGGAGCTGCTGTGGAGGTTGTTGGTGGACACAGTTCTCCTGACATTGGAAATCGCTGCACAGGATGACAGGCTTCTGCTCCGTGAAGTCCTCGGTCTCCTCGAGCAGGCTGAGGTTGTTGATGAAGTCGTTGCCGGTGGGCTCCTGCTTCACAGACGGCACCGGGGAGGACGTGTTGGAGTCGCCCGGGTTGATGAACTCCGGCCGGGGCAAAGGCCAAGTGCATGAACGGGGCCGCGACAGGGGCTCAAAATCCGGGTCGATTTCCACCAGGTGTGGCTGCTGGGCCGCTTCCGCCATGGTCGAGAGGTGACGGAGCCAAGTGTTACAATGTCATGTAAATGTGACGAACCTGTCGCCTGTAAAAAGTTGCAACTTTGCCAATGAAATTCGATCGAATACAGATCAATCTGTCCGGGAAAATAGTCCTCCACCTAGGCGCAAAGTCTGCATGAAAGTCACATCCCAGCCGGTTAAATTTGTGTTAAAATAATTTAAAAGTTATGTTTTCTAAAAATGATTTTCCTTTGAGCAAAAGTTCTCTGAGTGTCCTCGGTGTGTTAACCCACTGCTTTGTTTTTGTTATCCAGTCGTACTAGTGATATTACGTCTGCGCCCCGTACAGCCTGTTGACTCTCTGCGTTGTACAGCATGTGAGGACTTACTGGAAGTATCAGCTGACGCCGCCCATATTGGATTGACACCAGGAGAGCGCCAATGAATGGCATCGAAAGAGTTGGAATAAAAAAAGACCTTGTTTTCATTCTTTCTGCTGCTGCTAACAGCCCATAATCACAAAGTGTAGTAATCTAAAGTATAGTTTATAAGCCTATAAAGTAAAAACAAATACCAAATTAAAATGTTCTCAAACATAAGGATAATGCGTAGATGAATAGGGCAACATTTGAAAAAATACGGATATCAACTTTGTATAATATCAAAGGGAAATATACAAGAATATGTCTTTTTTTAAAAGAAGGGGAAAATGTGTTTTCCTCTGGTAAATGAAATGATTCTGGCAGGATCTGTACTACTTGTTGGGCCAGAAGTTGTTTTGGTTTTCTCAGCCAACTATGGGCTGTATTGACATCTTGTGGCTATTGTGAGGTATGACAGCATGACACAGTCTGCATGCATCAGCCAGCATGTCATCTCTTCCGCGTTAAACTGTCTTCATAGAGAGCATTTATTTATTAGCTGCCTAAATGTATCATCTATCTCAAAAATATTGAATTACTTTTTTTTCTTCCAACAGGACAACAGTCAGTGTCAACCAAGTCCGAGGTTTTTAATTTAAAGAAAGATAACAGTAACATTTAAAACTGTTCAGCATTGCCAACAGATTGTAAGTTATATTAAAGTCAGGAAGTGGCCTAAATCGATATAATGGTCTAATGATACACCTACTTGTCATGTTTTAATTTTATGGGGTATTTCTCCTGTTGTGTTGTGCCGTTCTCTAGACAGCTTGATGCCACTCCTTTTGCGTAAAAAGCACTTTTTTACGCACAGCAGGGTCGACCAGTTGCATCCGCCAATGGATTTAACAAGACGTTGCTTTGAGTGCGGAAGTAAAGTAAAATATTAAACTCCCACTGCAACGCCCTGGTATTACTGAATTTAAAGGATTCTGAACACTGTCCTGCCTTCCCAGAAACAGGTTTCATTTTGCGAATTGAAATGGTTGTATGGGTGTAGGTCCATGGGAAAATACCTCGTATAAGAAAAGGCTTATCTTGTGCCCACTTGGACTCGCCTATAGACTGTAGTGCAAACTAATATTTTTAAAGTTGCTGTCTCGGAGAGAAACAAAGATTAAGAGACTAAGGGTGAGTATGCATGTCTGTCTGTATTGGCTTCACAGAAATGTGACATGTTCTTTCTTCCTTCAAAACCACATCTTAAATTCAGTGATGGAAGAAGTATTCATATGCTTTACTTGGGTCATATGCATTAGTGTCAAAATACTTCATAACAAGTGAAAGTCCTGCATTTATAATCTTACTTAAGTTTAAGTACAAAAGTATAATTAGCAAAATGTACTTAAAGTATCAAAAAGTAGTCATCGTGCAGAAAAATGGCCTTCATGTGTGTATATAATTGTATTTATATGTGACATTTCTAGATAATATTGCTGCATCAAGTATAATTTTTGTGTTGTAGAGTCGACAAACACATTTCTGATGGTCTTTTTGTAAAATATAAAAATATTTTAAAAAGTTTTTTAAACTTCTCCGACTTAAAGTGAGGAAAACATATTAACATAATACAACAATGTAATATACATGATATTCTAAAATGGCCCATACTGCATAATGAGTCATTTTTACTCAAGTGTTGTACGTTTAGTTTACTTGATTGCGATCTTGAATGCAATATTTTTACTCTATAGTATTGCTACTTTTTTTAAAGGTTTTTTTTCAAAAAGCTCTTTATTTCTCATATTGCCTGTGCTGCAGCACCTCTTTTCACCCTCTGTCTGAAACTAGAGCACTGCCTGCTCTGATTGGTTAGCTGGCCGGCTCTGTTGTGATTGGTCAACATTTTTGATATGGGTCCCCCCTTATATTACATTTCACTTTTTTGATAAGGATCCCCCCTTATAAGAATTATACCTTTTTGATAAGGGTCCTCCCTATTATAAAATGTAATTTCTTTGATAAGTATCCCCCTTATAAAAATTATACTTTTTTGATAACGGTCCCCCCTTATGTAAAATGTAACATTTTCTAAAATGTTTACTTAAGTGTAGCACTTGAGTAAATGTATTTAGTTACTTCCCGCCTCTGGCTAAATGATTACAGTTAATCAATTTCTATGTTGAAGAGATGATGCCACGGTTGATATATAGATCCAATTTTCAGTTTTACAGAATCATATAAATGATCATGGCTCCACATCCTATAATCCAGGCCATCATCGACTTCTCAGCTGGAGCAATGGGTAATGTATCTTCTGCATAATCAAACATGCTGTGTGTGTGTGTGTGTGTGTGTGTGTGTGTGTGTGTGTGTGTGTGTGTGTGTGTGTGTGTGTGTGTGTCAAATAATTGTATCCTTTCATTTATTTGACATCATCATTTAACTGTGACCCATGGTAATACAATTATTATTTATAGAGTAGTGATGGTATGGTATCTAGTTGCATTTCTGAAGGTGCATTTTACCCTTGGTGGGTCTTTGTGCTTCAACACTACGATGCATGACAATAACAAAGTGTTCAAAATGCTACAACACCCTGCTCTGATGAGTCATGTCTTCTCTCTTATTACATGTCTATAATGTGTTCCCCAGGGGGTACAGCTTGCGTGCTGAGCGGTCAGCCCTTTGACACAGCAAAGGTGAAGATGCAGACCTTCCCCACCCTGTACCGCGGCTTCATCCACTGCTTCACATCCACTTTCAGACAGGTGGGCTTACGTGGTCTCTACAAAGGAACATCCCCAGCCCTTATAGCCAACATCAGTGAGAACGCCGTGCTCTTCCTCAGTTATGGTCTCTGCCAGGATGTGATCCGATTTGTGTCCAGTATGGAGAAAGGGGCCCATCTCAGGTTTGACACTGACATTTCTGTCTATTTGTTTGTGTTCACTGCTCTCTGTGGTGAGCAATATTTTGAATTTCCAACTCCTCTACAATTCAGTGGTCCCTCCAGCTACACCCTGCATGTCACCTTGTACTATTGAAAATTAACTGAGAGATGATCTCTAAAAAGATAATCATTGGTTGCACACTAAAAAAGAACTTCATAACAGTGGTACTGCATGTACAAACATAAATGTTAACAATTAACCTTTAAACCAATGCACTTGTTAACCAAGCCACTTTAATATTCTTGATTGCAGAGACTCTCCATGTCAAACTGTGAGCAGCATGAGAAAAGATAGTATAATATGACAAGGAATTCAGTGCTCATTGTAACTGGATGCAACAATATTACTCTCAGAAACTTTGTTCCAAGTCATATCAGGCATGTACCCAGTAGCCAGTCCCTTGATATTTAATAACAGGTTGACTTTGTGTACTGAACGCTTTTCTTCGACAAGTAAATGTAACCCTCTTAGAAAATTACCTTAGGTACATTCCTAAGGCCCTTCTCCATTTAATGCACGTTGTTTTCAAAAACATACTGTGTATGAACAGATGATTTGATCTTAAAAGGACCTGACTTATCCTGAAGACCAAGGTTGATTGTTTATTAGTATTATTTTATTTCTTTTCACAGTGATATTCAGAAGGCATGCGCAGGGTCTTTAGCCTCCATCTTTTCCTCCATGGCACTTTGCCCCAGTGAGCTGGTGAAATGTCGCCTGCAGGCCATGCATGAAATGGAAGCATCTGGCAAGATAGCAATCGGACAGAAAAGGTTGGTGTGAAAAAAATGACACATTGTAGAGAGCACAACATATATTTGAAGCCAATACCCTGTTGAGTGTTTTTTTTGGTGTGACTTCAGCACTGTGTGGACAGTAGTGAAGACAGTGTTGAAGACTGATGGCCCCTTGGGTTTCTACCAAGGACTCACATCCACCTTAGTGAGGGAGATACCAGGTTACTTCTTCTTCTTTGGGGCCTATGAACTGTGTCGGACTAAATTTGCGCAGTATAAGGGCACGGACAAAGATAGTATAGGTATGATAATTATTGGTCATTCATCTTTCATGAGTTGTTTCATTATTGCTGCATGTCCTTTTATTTTTGTGCTCTGCCCCCATGAAAATAACGTTGGTCTTTGCAGGTATTCTTCCCCTCATGTTCAGCGGTGGATTTGGAGGAGCTTGTCTCTGGTTGACGGTTTATCCCATTGACTGTGTGAAGTCCAGGATCCAGGTTTACTCTTTAGCTGGGAGGCAAGAGGGCTTCATGAAAACCTTCATGGGTGTTATACGCACTGAGAGTAAGTTTTGAACGTACATACTCAAATAGAAATCCTTCAAGTTGGGTATGATTCTGAATGGCGGAAAAGTTATTAAATTCTCCCATTGATCTGTTGTCTTCTTAAATATAGGTTGCAAAGCTCACTGTTTTACATCATACATCCTTATAATCAGTGTGCAAAAGAAAACAACTGTATCATTTGGCTTTTTGTGAACTACCGGTTCTGTAGAGAAAAGTGTTGACTCAAACACAAAACAGACTCTAGACTCTTCTCTCATTTGGTTCATAACCAGTTTAGACATTCAAATCAGAAACAATCTCTTAAGAGACATAATTCTGCCCTTAAGAGGATAAAAAAAGGATTATCGAACTTTTGTTTTAATGGTGTTTCATTCTCTTATACAGTACATCTGGGAAAAACAATGTTCTTTAAACACAGTGAGACTTGTGGTTTTACATTTCCAATATGCACTTTATTTTCTATACTGATAGAATAAACCTTTCAGGGAGTTTTTTTTGGTTGGCATTTTTGAGAGAAACGACAGAGTGACCGGCATCTGAAAGTATTACAAATTATTTACACAGTATCTGTTCATGGCTGTACTGTCTCATGTTGCAAGTAGATGTACATAATAAGAAAAAAGCTATCCGGAAATATTCAAATCATCCAATTAGGTCATGAAGGAGATGGGGTAAGACTGACACACATCAGATTTGTTAGACTTGAAAAAAACAATGAAGACACCATTGCATAACAAGTCGTAATACATGAATATTAGTATGTATAAAATAAAGGTTGTCCAGCAGAAGAAGAGAATAGCTTGCGGATGTAGAGATTTGAATATTCTCCATGCACAACAACATTAAAGCTGTAAAAAAGTGAAAAACAAGGAAGCAAGAAAAAGGTAAGATTTATGAAGGAAGTGTACATGCTTAATGTACTTAGTCACAACCACATTCACTACCATCTGCACCATCTGTTGCCAAGATGTGGAGGATAATTTGGCGTCAGTG